GATTCATAACCATAGTGGATTTGACATTATGAATATAATTGTTGTCAGATTTTAATTACTGAATGAATTTAATTTACATTTATAGTTTCAAATCATAGTCAAAATTATATGTTGATGGTGGTGGTCTGGGTTGTGACTCCATGTGAACTTGTAAGTGGTTACCAATGTTTCGGAGGAACACATTGCCTCAGTTCTGTAGTGCAGCACCCTGATGTGTTATGTTGATTCTTGTCGGTTATTATTCAGTCATCTTTTCGCACACTTACTGTTCAGTAGCTTCATTTTGTTGAACTTCAAGTTTCAGCCCAATGGGACCCTCATCAGGTTCAAATATAAGTTCAAAGTCATTGTACTGAAACCATATCACTTTTTTTTCTCTCCATATGTTGTCTCAAATAAAAAATAAAATTAGGAGTAAAATAAATAATAAGTAATACATTTCCAGTGCAATGACCTTGAACTTACATTCAAACCTGGTGAGGTCCCAAATGGGCTGAAACTTGTAGTTAAAAAAAGTAAAGCTATTTAACAGTAAATGTGTGAAAAAGTGACTTAATAATAATCAAGAATCACCTCAATCGTGCCACTGTAGAGGGAGACAGTGTTATTTAAGATTATTTTTAACCACGTAGAAGACCATATGGTGTCTTCAAGACCAGATCTGTACTTCCATCAGACCTTCAGATTTCAGGGAACCAGAATTATATTTCATAACTGAATATCTGCATAGTACAATAAACTTGAAAATAAGTAGTTGTAGTACAAAGTTTTATTCTGTTGTGTTATGCATAACGAGTTGTTAACAATTGAAGCACCTTTTAATATTATTATCAGTTTATTAATTCATGAAGTAATACTACAATTTTGAAAATTATTTTAATATTTTCATATCAGTTGATGGCTTTGCAGCTGGTCTCATACTGTACAGTAAGTATTGTAAATGTGTGAATCATAATAGCAGTAGTAATAATAATTATAAATAATTATCACTGAAACTGTATCATAAATTGACTGTGAAATGTAAATATAGATTTAGGTTGCACCAAGCTGTGATGGTTCCTGGTTTGGACAGTCACTTCCCATATGGACGAACCACCTGTAATGTAGGTACTTATATGTTTCACTCACTTAGCACATAGCAGGATTTTCACTTGAAACACAGACTGAGAACAGTGTTTGTGGTAATAGTGAAGGGTCTTTAAAAGACATGGAACGTAAACAAAGTGAGATCTGCCTTACACCATTCTCATATTTTTCAGCCGATGAGTTAACAGGTTCTACATTTATTGAAAAGATAATGGTGACACGCAGTCACAAATTATAAAGGTTGTATTTTCAAAGCTTTGATTTAACCCCTTATTGTACACGAAAAGGTTTCTTAACATCTAAATGCTGCAGTGCCAGCTGGAATTTAAGTTGAAGATTTAATAAGTAATGTATTAGAGTAGTATTAAGAAACTGATCTGTTAAACTGTTAGTGCTAAAATATTGTAATGATAAGTTGTTGAGAGAAAATAAGTTGCACAGTTCTGTAGTGCTATATGTAATAGCTTAAAATCAATTTTCTTTCAAAACAGATTATAGGTTAATAAACTAAATTAAATACAGAATATGTAGATCAAAATGCACAGTACGATAAACTTCCAATTATTCATGTGTGCATCATCTGGTTTTTTGATTATCCATGCACGACTTTTGTTTTACATAAACGCAGACGTGTGAACTAGACTTCAGACATCTTTCCATGACTGCTTTGTAGGATGGGGGTGGTTGGTTTTGGGGGGTCTAGAGAAGATGTGGTTGAACAATGCCTTTTCCTCTGTACTTTTTGTTCAGTATCATGGTGGGGTGGAGAGGTTTGTTCCAATGGTCATGGTGGTGGAGAAGGGGTATGCTACACGTACATTTGGTCTTTTTCAAACATCAGTGTTTTGCAGTCAGTTGTTGAATTGTGCGGTAGTTGGGTAAGAATGATGGTTAACACTTGTGGATCTGAAGTAAGATGGCTGAAAATCGTTAGAAAATGTACTGCCACTAAGACAGGAGAATGAATTACCTGAAAAATTTGAGAGTTCGGAGAATGGGCAACAGAATTAGCAGGGACTGACTGTCTATGAAATGACACTGAAGATGAAAACATTATAGCATTTTGGAAAAGAGTGAGTGATGGATGGTATATCTTGGGCATGGTCCTCATGATTCCAGAAATGCTAGTTCAGCCATGGAGGAAAAAGCAAGGGATCACTACAAATTATTTTTCAGAAAAGTGTCAGGTTTTTGTGAGAAAATGTGAAGTTTGTAAATACACAAAATATTTTGTGTCTTCATCAACCCAGATAATGGGAAGTTTACTGTACTTACGTTTCAGTAAATGTTCTCCCCATATTCGAATAGAAGGATAATTAAAACACTGGTCTGTACTTTGCTCTCTGAGCACAGAAATTTTGTAGTCACTCTTAATCATCATTAATCATACTATCATCAGCAATAAAAAACCAACAGTGTTTGATACAGTATTACAGGCCGATTTCTTAGTCTGGTTAATATCCTATCATTCCGTTAGAGCTAAGATGTGTAATAATATACACTTTGTCATCAGATCATATTGAGTTGTCTTCTAATTAAAAAATGAGGTTTTACAGTTGTATAGTATATTATCAAGACATTAAATTTTACAAGAATATTCTGTAATGATTGACTTAAGTTTGTTTGTTATTTGAATTTTTCTGTTTCTTTTTTCTGTGGTAGTAAGTTAAGGAACTTTGCAGGAATATATCACAATGAAAGAGACTGTTTATTTTGCTAATATTTATGATGAAATATTGCATGTGTATTAAATATTTATTCTTTCAATGAACTAACTTGTCAGAACCTCATGACTCAACAAACATACATACTTGCTTTCCCATTTTAAGTAGCACAATGAATTATTTAACAGAAAAATTTAGGAAAGGTTAGATTCAGCTGTTAATTTAAAGCACAAATCTCAGCTAGATAATAATTAAAAATCCAGATGCTACATCCAAGAAATCATATATCTCTGTAACATTTAGGATGTTAAGGACTTTTTAATTGAGAACCAGGTGGCACTCATTAATATGCTGTGTGTGCAGAATACCAAGTTATTGACTGCTAAATGATGTGGTAATTATACTTACCGCTATTCTGTAAAGAGTTAAGCTATGAGGAATTAAAAACCCACAAACACTCAGTCTAGTTTCAAGAGTAACTTAAATTATGAGAACACAATGAGCAATAGTAATGAATATATATATCGTGGTCAACAAACTTTTAGTGCTTCCTTCTACAATGGGCTAATAATACTTTGTGCTTGCTTGTTGTAGAAGTACCAACTGAAGACATGTAATAAGAAAACATTTAGAGGACAAAGAACTGTCTTGTTGTAAGAGATCTAATTTTAATTGTGCTCTTCTGTTCCTTGACTGTGCAGGTTGTATCTGTTATTGAGTTGAACTTTCCCATTGTATAATATTAAAAACTATCATATGCTGTCATTTGTAGAAGTTGTAAATCAGTACTTCAAATCCTGTGTTTCAGTGGACTGAACATAATTAAATTATTAATACTATTTGCTTGTATATTTTAAAAATATTGTAATTAATCCCATCAGATTCCTCATTTACAGTTGAAAAGAAACTGGATTCAATTATTGCACACTGTTGAAAATTAATAATTTAGAATTAAATGTGTTTCCATATAAAAATAGAAGAATGGTGCTTGGTGTAATAAATATTATTGCTGTATTTTTTGTGCAGAAACAGCAGTGCCATAAATGTTTTTTCCATTAATTTTTGTGGATACTACTTCCAATTAGGAAGTTCTTCCTTAAGAAGTTGATATTTAACTCTTTAAAGCCAAAGTTCATCTAAATGATATATAGAATGTAATTCATCCCTGCAGAGGATGAAGCACAACACTTCACCACTACAGAGATAAAATGATTAATGCTGTTTTATGGAAATAATTCCTGTTTACACTGAGAATCAAACAAAACCCATAAATACAAAATGCAGTTATTGATTGTTAAAGCAGATTGTACACATAGTTACTGCTTGGCTCTAAAATGTTAATCAGTTCCTCAAATAATTTATTGCTTTTATGGGACCCAAAGGATTCATTACCCTTTTCAGTAAAAACCACCAGTACATAATGTATTTCTGTATTTTTTTTTTTTAGCATTTCTCATATCAATGCCAAGGTCTCCAAATTTTCCCTTGAGATGTTTTTCATAAAATTGTTGTGTATAATACATTTGAAACACATCTCATCTTTCTTGATTTGATTTCAGTAGATACAAAAGCAACAAAGGATTTTAATAAGTAGGATTTGAGGATTGAGTCTGAAGATGTCTTTCTTCTACGCCGTTGAGTGTGTAGTCTGGTAGAAGTTTACCAACATTTCAGTGGTCTTTGCAGTCTCCATCATCAGGGCGACTTTCATATAGGACATGGGTGGGGCTTATTTTGCTCATTTTGTAAATCCAAGATTGCAATTGACAGAGACAACACTTTTGAGATTTTGTAAGCCAATGCATGGCATGAAAGTAGGAGATAAAGGCAGGAGTATAACTGAATAGATTGAACCAGTGGCCGCAACATAACTGCTAGCTTCAGTAACGTCACTGAGAGAAGGGAAGAAAAGATGGAAAGGACAAGGGAGAGCAAGATTACGAAGATTCTGTTGTTCCCTTTCTAATTCCGACACAATCGGTCATTTTCAAAGTGACTTTTACACTGCATTGTATTTTGTGAACCAAAGGAAGAATAAAACACAAATGCAGGCAGACGCGCTACTTTTACAGTACAAACGTAATCTCACATTCTACAGTATACAAAGAAGGAGCGGGTTATATTCTTCGTATGCATAATTCCTTCTTGGTATCTGTGCTGCAGTGAGCCATCACAATTTCAGTCTCTTGTTCCTAAGGTCTGGTTATTTGTAAGTTGGCATTATTGTGATTAGTACCAACCTATGCCGCTGCGTGACTGCACTTTGTAAACAAATATGGTGTGGCCTGTTTGAATTCGATGTTGTTTTCGCTTATTTATGCCTTAAATTTTATATATTTATGTAAGTGTGTTTACAGTCTGTGTTTCATACAACGCCCTGAATTTAATTTGTTATATTTTGTGTATTTTAATTGAAAGTCGCTCAGGTAAATATTGTAGCACTATGACGTTTCCAAATTTCAGTGATTTATTTTGAAGTGCGCCTGAAAGCATTTACGGGTAAAATCGTCTAATCACCATGCCCTAAAAGTTTATAGTCAGCGTAGAGATGATGATCTACTCATATTATACTTCAAGTCTAGATGAAGGTGAGTTGTCAGTTTAGCTGGTTTACTTTTTGCTAAAGAGTTCACATTATCTGTTGTGAAGAAGGCTGGATGAGCCCCATCCCCCAAAGTAGTGATAAAGAAATAAATCTTGCCCAAGTAGGGGGTCGAAACCCATTGTATCTATTCTTTTTACTGACTGTGCTGTTCCAACTCTAGAAAGCATACAGGGATCTGAGCTATATGTTCCACACTCCTACAGTATGAATGAGAATAATAAATTCCTTATTTTTAATTTCTGTTGGTGACTGTTTATATCTCTGAATGATTATCATTTTGTGCTGTTACTGTGTTAATTGTGAGTAATCTCAGGCAAATATATAGGTTCCATTTGTTTAAATTGTTGTGTGAGAGCATGTCGAATCATATTAAAAATGGCTGTCTTCTGGGTTGTTGCGCCATGTAGTCTAGTAGAAGTTTAACGACGTTTCAGAAGTCCTTGCTGCCTCCATCATGAGGCATATTCTTGATTTAGATGTTTACATTTTTTAACATCTCTGGTTATATAATTTTCATTGTTACAAGATGTCTCCATTGTGCTATAGAATGAGTAATTGGACTGAAAATTTTCACATTGAAATGCCACAATTGATGCTTTTAAATTAAAGTTTGTGAAACTGATTTGTGATTAAAAGAGTTACCAAACAAGTAAGGTGAATAAAGCAAGCTGTGTTTGTATCTTTACAGATGGCTGATGATTCAGAAAGAGATGTTGTACCTGTAAAGGATGGATCTTCATATGAGAGACAAAGAAATGTGGCAACTTTTTCACTAAGTGGTGACAGAGGTAATGAGTATAATACTACCATACAAAGTGCTAAGTAATGTAGCATTGATCTTGTATTTAAGCTCGATGCCACGAGGCATGTAGGGGAGTGAAGGTATAGTGCCACTAATTCTTAACTTCAGCTGTCAGCGTCATTCTTTGGTAGCTATGTTTCCAGAGGGCTGTACAAACTGGTAGAAATTAAATAAAGAAAATAACCATTTGGTTTTCTAAAATTATCCAGGACATGTTTTCAAATTTGAGCACTGCGAGAAAATATTTTATGCTTAAGAACACAGCTTCAGAGGGTGAACCAGTTCAGCTTCAACTAATTGAGTCTGGTAAATTTTTTGCCAGTCATTTGCATGCTCAGAGGAATTATTACCACTGTATTCAAATTACTGACAGAGGTTGATGATGTGTATTAGTACATGTATAATACTAGGAAAGTTATTTTAGAAGGAAAATATGGGGACCTTACATAACTATGTCCATATAGTTCTGTTCAATACAACCAATTCTTTGGTTTCAAAGACAGACTTAAAGAGAAGCACCAAAAACAGAAAAGTACAAGGCCCCAATTTCATCAGATATTAAAATGGCCACAGTAAGTGATCACAATTTTATTTAAAGTACTGCTAGTTTTGTATTAAAGTCATTGTTTTCACATCCTGGTTTTTCCATATTGCTGACCGAGATATTCCACCTTCGTTATATGTAATAAAGCAAAGTTGTAAAATCTTTTGTAGATATACTGCCTGCCCCATATATATCTAAGCTTGACCGTAAGGAATTGGAGGACCGTTACATGAACCTTGTGTTGGACAAAAGCCGTATTAAGAAAGAGTGCAATAAACAAGAGGAGACGATAAAGAGGTACGTAGAATTTGTTATTTTTTTATTTGTAGTGTTCTGTCTGACGACAGGTCCATATGAACAGGATCCTTCCATCCTTTTCTCGGACTGGGACCTGTTCATATACGTTCTTGGCAGATGATCCAGAAGTGGTTTGCCATTGCCTTCTTCTGTGTGTGAATGGAGTAATTGTTGGGATGCCATGGAGAAACCGGGGAAGCCCCCGGAGGAAAACTCCGTGATGCCTAGACCACGGCCTTGCCCAACACAAGTTATAAATTTGAGCACCACTGGGAATTGAACCCGGGACCCCAGGCTTACAAGGCTAGTGTTCTGACCGCTAGACCACCGTGGCGACGTACGTAGAATAGAAGAACATATTCTTTATGAAAACTGCCATCTTCATACTCACTACCAAGAGAACCTGAAATTCTACTTGGTTCATATTGATCCGACGTGATTCGTACTTGACCTGAAACTCAAATTAATTGATTTTATCAAAAAACAGCAATTTAATACAAAGTATGAATATCACTTCAAATTCTATTTACCGTGTTCTAATAGGTTTTTCAGTATGGTGAATATATAGCACAGTACAAGGAAGAATATTTTCTGATCCTGTTATGTGATATTTATAGAATAGTTACTTTTGGAACAGTAGGTTTGTATCTGGAATCAGTTTCTAGGTCAGTGAAGTACATAAAATATTGTTCTTATTTCATATCTTTCTAATTGTCATTACTATCAGTTTTTGTAAGAAATATTAATTGTGATAGAATTTTTAATTATGTTTACAGATATGTTGCTTAAAGATAATGAGCTGTAGTTCATTTCATGAGTAGCAAATGAACATATTTTGTATCCAGAAAGTAGAGTTGAGATTTTCAAGTTGTGTATCAAATCATTTCATGACCTGATAGCTTAAATGTATCCGGTCCCATCATTGACAGTATTAAACAGTGTTGTTATGGAGGATAGGATGTAATTGTTCATGAATATATTTACATTAATGTAAAGTTAATTTTCGTGTTTGTAAGACTGGCTACAAAGCTACTGCGGTTGGTAGCAGAACAGAAGCGTGACATCCCTACAGCAGCACAGCGTCATGATCGCAGTCTGGAAAGTTTGGTTGTGGACCAACAGCAGCAAATACATGAACTGCAGCAGAATAATACTCAACTGCAGGACCGACTTACGGTTCTGCGTAACCAGCTTGCGGAACATACGTCTCTTCATTCTGCCGTACACTGCAATTTTATGAGAAAGACACGTTCACCAGCTCGTTCTAATACTCGGACCTGCACGAGTTCCAGAATACCAGCTGTTGTACCATCACATGATTCTCAAAAGTAAGCTGTCTTATACTGCATATCGTCAAATGCATATACAACATAAAACGTAGTGTATTTACAAGTTTCACATACATGAAGTAAATGCGTGTTATGGAGGCAGTATGTGTCCATCCGTCTGCATGTTTTATTTCTGAAATTGCTCTACAGATTTCATTGGAAGTCTGCTCTAAAATCTGCTATGAAAATTTAATGTTGATTTTTAACTTCTACTTTACATAAAAATCAAGTAAAACATGTTAATTCTTGCATAATTAGGTCATTGTCCAAAGGTTGGTGTACATCATAAAATGTAGGTCTCATGTTTATTTGAAAAATTTCTAAATATGGCAGATATTTAGAATAATTAGAAGGACAAATAATTTCTGTAGTCTGTGCATCCAGATGGGGCCCACCCAGCCTCCTGCCAAATGGGTACTGGGGGTCCTTTTCCAGGGGTTAAGTGTTCATGGTTGTGTGTGGTAAGAATTGGAGTAGTGAATGGAAAACCAGTTGGATTTAGCATATACATTGCTAAACATCAAGTTAAACCAGAACTTATGATTTGTTAATAATCCCACTGATACAATATTTTATTAAGCAAGTTTCTTGTTTGAATTCATACATGAGTTACCTGTACTGGGTGGTGCTACTGGTTTACTTGAATAATAATCTCCACTTTCATTTTACTGTCAGTTGTCCCAGGTTTTGTATGAAAAATTTATTCACCACAGACTCTGATCATTTTACATCGCATGTTATGTGATGTCTCAACTTGCAGATAATTCTGTATGTGCTGACCGTAACTCATGTTTATTTTAGTATGTTCCAGGAAAACTCACAGACCAATACTCTTCGCTTTAAAACTGCTGCCAGTCCTTCTCAGCCGCTAGGGACAGAAGTAATACCAGACCATGAGAGATTTATTGATGAACATACGTCAGCTGAAATTCCAAGCAGCAATACTGCTGCTGTGGAACAAAACCAGGAGTTTCCAAAAGAAATTATGAGACTCCATGAGCAAATTAGCATCTTGGAGCAGGTAATTTTGATTCACATTATCGCTGATGCTGTCCTCCATTGTGATATATATATCAGAGTGTTAAAAAAATTCTGACAGTGTCATAGATGTGAGAGTAGTGCAGGTGGGACAACAGCACTTGCACTGCTGCTTCTCAGTAAGACTGGTCATTTTAATGTAACTAGTAACTAAAAAGTAAAGCCATCCCGCTACACAGCATGTAGGTCATTTGGGGGGAATGGAAGTATAGCTCCTACTCGTTCTTAACCTTGGCGTTAGATGGGGTGAGTGGTCAGCATCACGCCCCAGCTGCGCTTTACCCCCAGGAAAGGACCCCAGAGCCGGTCTGGACGCAAAGGATAGAGGAAAAATCCTCTGCCCCTGTCGGGGATCGAACTCCAGTCGTCCAGCCTGTAGCTGGTCACTATACTGACTGAGCTGTCCTGGCTTCCCAATGTAACTAGGTTCAGGTTAGGGCCAATCATTTTTTTTTAAAAATATAGTAATGGTTTTTGAAAACAATATAAAAGGGAATTTATTCACCAGCTGAGTAGCTACTATCTTTTCGAGGAAGACTGTGCCACGAATGTCCATACGTAGTTATCCTCAAAGTCTTGCATGTTGTAGGATTTGGAGACACAGCGTGAACAAAGCAGTGCTCGTATCAGTGAGCTGGAGGATGAGCTTGCTAATGCTGTGGCGCGAGACCAGAGACAGAAGGTTGCCGAAAATGTGGAGATGATTCGATTGCAACGCAGTCTCCAGCAGCAGTCGGCCCATCTGGTGGCACAGAGTGCAAAGAACCAAGTTCTGGAACAGGAAGTGGCACACTTGCGTCAGGAGTTGGAGGCTGTGCAGCAAGAGAATGGTGGGGGGTGTTTCTGTAATTGTAATTATAGGAATTAGCTGAAATGTCAACATAAGGTTTTTGTATTTACTACACATACTGCTGCCTAGTCCAAGAAGTTATAAACCACTTTTTATGTACGAGGTGCGATCGGAAAGTTTCAAGACTGTGTCAATAGAGGGCGAACCGGATGTAGTACAAGCTTCTGCCGCTAGGGGGTGCGGCCTACATTCATAATGAATCAGTGTGCCAGCCGGCATCATCGAATTAGCATTTGTTTCTTAGTTACGGGCGTTTTGGTTGTGCATTACACCGACCCTCCTGCGATTTCGGAATGGCGTGTGCATCAAATTTTGCCAAAGACTCGCCAAAACGGCTACGGAAACCTATGAAATGCTAAAGCAAGCATTTGGGGAGTCCGCAATGGGTAGTTCACAAACTTTTATGTGGCATTCATGTTTTAAAAATGGCCGAACCTCTGTCGAGGGTGACGGCAGTTTTTGGCCTCAAACACCCTGGCCGTCATCCCGCACCCTCCTTATTCGTCGGATTTAGCTCCGTGTGACTTCTTCCTCTTCCCAAAGATGAAAATTCAGCTAAAGGGAAGGCGATTTGAGACGATAGAAGAGATTCAGGCAGAATCGCAGATGGTGCTTGACAGGCTGGCAAAGAAAGATTTCCAGGGATGCTTCCAGGCTTGGCAGCGGCGCTGGGATCGTTGTGTTCACTCCCAGGGGAACTACTTCGAGGGTGATGGATGAATTTAATACCTGAGATAAGTGTGCGGGTTTTTATAGGCGCAGTCTTGAAACTTTCCGATCGCACCTCGTATATTACTTTTGTATGAAATTGTGGTTTCCTCTTTTTCTTGTTGTTGTGTAAAGAAGGAATATGTACCAAGCTGAATTAAGTGTTACTTTTAAAATTTCAGTATCCATTGCCCAAATAGAACTGGGAATGGGTATGCGTTATTCTGCAACAGGCCAACATTTTAACCTAAATAATTATTATAAACATAAAATAAGGCTATAAAAATGTGGGCTAATGTTTTGCTAGTGTAACCATTGTAAATAATCATCTAAAATATGTTTGAAATGCTATATGTGGCACATTGGATACTGTAACCAATAACTTGTCTTGATGTAAAGTAATTATCCAAATTTAACAGTGAAACAAACCAAAGAGTAGCATGTGAGGTTCTTATGGCAGTCACCAAAATGCATTGTGCGCTAGTGCTGTGAAGATAAGCGCTTTTTATGTAGTGGCATCATTCTGTTGGAAACAGGAACCTTGATACGTGTTTGTGTTGTTCTAATTTTAATGCTGAAAAATAGCATACAAGTTTTAAAATTACTTTTAGCTGGACATATTAATTTTGGCTTTTATTTGGATTACTGTGCTGCAGATGAACTTAAACACCAGCTGATGAATGAACATCAGAAAGTAGCAGACATGCAGCAGGAACTCCAAGGAGTGGGATCAAATCGCCAGTCGGTCAGAGAGCTTCAGGAACAAATTAGAGACGTTCAGGTACAAACTGAGTTTCTTATATCAGGAACTATTGGGAATACACTTGGAAACAGTTTCATTTATATGAAGCTGAGTTACGATAATGTGCAATTGATTCAGCTGGCCAACAAAATTTTTCCTTTAACGAACTTAGAGGATCATGTTGTCTGGTAAAAATTTACCATTTTATCATTGAGTTCATAAGAAACACACCACTGGATCTATCTTGAACAAGTTCAATCCAGTTCATGTCATGCAACCCTAACACATTTCTTCGTTAGGTAATAAATTCCTCACAGCAATTAGATTGGACGCTGGGTGGATACCAGGTCAATTCTCACCATTCTGGTGATAAAATACCACTCAGACTGCTGGAAGGGATTGAACCGAGTCCAATCTGCAGTTAGGTATCTTAATGACTAAGCTACCACTGCACAAGGAATATCCTGGATCATGGAATTTGTAGAAAGTGCTTTTAAAGAAACTTATATAATATACTGCAATATTAGTGATGTTTGATTACATAGATCATAACTTTTGTACGTCTGTTACCAGAATGAGCGGTCTACCTTGAAGGAGCACAATGAACGCCTCTTGGCACTAATGTCATCAAGGCAGATCCAGAGTTCAGAACAGGAGGTAGAACTTCACTCGCAGGTATGAACTAATTTCACTCAAACTTCAGACTTCTCGCTTGTCAAGAAATCTTTTTTCTAGCTACATTCTTAGAATGCAGATTCACGAAATTGTTAATGCCCCATTTTACTAGTACTATAACAACAATCTATGAGACAGAAATATTTTTCTGTTGGTAAGAAGTAACCACCGCCACGGTGGTCTAGCGGTTAGAACGCTGGCCTTGTAATCCTGGGGTCTCGGGTTCGATTCCCTGCGGTGCCCGAATTTATAACTTGTGTTGGGCGAGGCCGTGGTCTAGGCAACACGGAGTTTTCCTCCGTGGCATCCCAACAATTACTCCATTCACACACAGAAGAAGGCAATGGCAAACCACTTCTGGATCATCTGCCAAGAACGTATATGAACAGGTCCCAGTCCGAGAAAAGGATGGAAGGATCCTGTTCATATGGACCTGTCGTCAGACAGAACACTACAAATAAAAAATAAGAAGTAACCATATTTCTTTAGGATCCTATTCCACTCCATTATTATAGTTTTAAGATTGGTAAGGCATACACTTTGGAGTGCGCTAACATTTTGGAGGCGTTTCTTTTGCCACATCACGTACGTTGTTCTTGGACTAATGTGATCGGAGTTCATTGTTCTGTCCCGTGCCATTGTTTTACTAATATAATTTTTGCCATAATGTGATCTGACATCCTGTTGTTGCACAAAAAATGGATTCGACCAATAGGAGTTTTTCACACTTCATATTCTTGCTCGTAAAACAAGTAGTATAAGAAAACAGTATTTAATTTTGTGTGCATTGCAAGTGATTATCTAAGGCCATGTAGAGAGAATAATTGTCCACATCTTCATGCAGTAATTCTTAATGTATGTTAGGTGTCGCGGTTGGAAACTACGTTGGCAAAAGAACAGAGTGAACGAGCCCAGTTGATGCAACAGATAAAACAACTACAGCTGGAGGTACAGTATCAAGCTCATTTGCAGTTCTGTGTTAGACAGGAGAAGGCTCTGTGACTTCAGGTGGATGTTGAGGACAAATAAAAGTGGCATTTATTTATATTCAAAATATAAATAATATCGCCCTTAAGATGGAGGCAGTATGACCCTCGAAACGTTGGTTGACATCGACCAGACTACACAGCACAACAACCCAGAAGACAGAAATCTTCAAATATTATCTTATTTTCTGCAAGAAATTGTGTGTAAAATAAGGCCATAAGGTCTTGGCCAAGTGTTGCATGTGGGTGACAGTAAGATTTCTTAGGGAGGGTCAGAACTGAAGGTATCAAATAAATGAACAATGAGAAGATCAAGGACAGGTGGAGAGATCAGATGACAGATAATGAAAAAGAGAATAATCTGGGAGAGAGAAGGATTGAGAAGGCTTTGCCGAAAGATGATCTTTCCTTGTGGAAATGTCAGTGAATAATATTACAATTGGTGTATAGCATCTGGTCAAAGTTTGCAATTTACAGTGCTGATTTTCTCACACATAACCTCATATACCCAAAACCAGGCACTACCTAGAGCAGAAGTTATGTCCACTGTTTTCTGTGCGCCTATAAATGCTGCCTACTGTCCACAGATGACGAGAAAATCCCTGCAAGGGGAAGTTGTTTCTGGTGCGGTGCGGGAGGAATGTTACTTATCAGCTGGACTAGAGGGCTGCTATTGGTGGGAAGTGTGATACATTAGAGTTTTACGCTACTACACACAGACTGAAAACATCAAGCCGTTAAGAGTAGCGTGTAGTGAGTGCACGTCTAATGTGTTCTGCGGGTGTTGCGGTAATATTCTAGATTAAATGACTGTGCCACTGTGAGGTAATGTTAAAGCTGTACCCATTAAAACACGTGAAAGCCTGTCGTCTGTTGTTCGTTCAGTGGTTGTGGAACGAATGCCTTTAGGATGGGTCGTCACTCACCGCGAAATCTTGCGCATGCGCGTATATCGAATTCCTAGCAGGGATTTTCTCCTGGTCTGTGGACTGTACCTGGTACTCATAATTTGTTGCACCCGCATCTAAAATAAATGTGTCAGCTTATATGGGACTTTGCTTGATGTAACACATGAAGAAGTCAAACCAACTGTTGCGTACGTGCGTGCAGTCGACGGATCATGTCAGCTTGTGCACGTGTTTCGTTATCAACACTATAAGAATTTTTCTTTATTTTGATTTTGCATGTGGCTCGTATTTAGGAACCTTATTTATGAGGCTACTGGTCAAGATAACTTATATATGATTCCCACAAAATGTTACTTACCATATTTTATTGTGTCTTGTTAGTGAGTTATTGCATTCTGATAGGCAATATGTAGTTGCTTTTGAAAATAGAGTAGTTCGTATGAAATGCTCTAATGCTTGCATAAGATAAAGTCTACGAGTGCACAGATACCTGTAATAGAATGTAATGTGATTTATTCACAGGTGGCACAGTTGGAGGCAGCTTTAGGAAAAGAACTGAAGGAAAAGAGCAGTTTATTAGGGACTCTAAATGAGATGCATCAGAAGATGCCTGAACCAGAACACTCATATTCTGCTGACAAAGAGAGTGCTCTACATATCCAGGTAGTGACTTGCTTATTATTTGAGAGGAATTATCTTGAAATTGTTACTTTCATTTGTTTATATTGAATGGGGCCGTTAGTCATCGTCTTCTCGCTGTGGCAGCCTAGGTTTGTTGACTGGTGTCCTATTACAAAGATTAATGGGGTGCATTTAATGAAGAAGCAGATGAAATGTCTTTTCAAAGCTTATATTTCATATAATATTCACTTATGGCACAAGGAATTTATTATTTAGGTTCTTAAAGTCATGAAGTAATGTGGGGAAAGCGATATTTTCTGGGAAATGTGTTCTGAAAAACTGTCAGGACCATACTTGTTTGTAGTGAAATGAAGGAAAAACATTATTTTGGAATTAAAATGTAAATGGATATAAAGAAGTATTAAAATAAAAGTGTGTTAGTAAAATTAGTAATGAAACAAATTTAATTTATTTAACCAGAAAATGATGTGAACAATAGATGCTCTAAAGAGGCACAAAGCTAAGACTTCTTGTACCAGAAACTAATATTTCTTCATGTGAGTTATCCATTTTTGTTAGTCAACACTCTTGAGTATTTATTATAAAAAAATACGATTTTTTTAAAATTAAACTCTAGGGAATGATATACAGATATAATACATTTTCATTTTTTTTCGATTTTTTTAAACATTTTATGGAGTTTTATTCTTAATGTGCACCTGACACTGTCATCATGCTATAAGCTTTTCAAATTATGATATTTTTTGTTGAACAAAATATAAAGTATGCAGTGTGTTAAAAATTCTGATCTGAATTGAATTTCGACAGTTATATCCTCATATTTACAGTTAGTAAAAGGCTACGAAGCAGACTGGCATAGTAATGACATGACTCATGACTTACATTTTGAAGGTACTTGATTTTATTCCCAGCTGAGAACCAGTTGTCCTTATTTTCTTCCGGGTTGGGGTTGCACAGTATTTCCTGTTAGATTACTGTTAAGCTCACATGTATTGCTCTGAGTTCATCGTATCTAATGAATTTTGGAACTGGGCTGCCTCCTCTGTGGATGGTTAGCACATGTCTGACATCGAGTTTATCAGGTTGATAACATGCCGTGACAACATTACAGATTTGTCTAGATTTTCATATGTTTTGAAAATTTGTTATTTATAGATAATGATGTGTAGTTAAATTGTAGTCCATTCTTATAATGCATGAATCAAATAATAAAATATATGTTTTCCTGAAAATGGCAGGTGGCACAGCTCGAAGCCACATTGGCCAAAGAACTGATTGATCGTACGCACGTTCTTCAAAGTCTTGAAGAAGAGAGGACGCAAATGGCAGCGCTGAAAGTTGCCCATACTCAGTTGCTAGTCAAATTGCAGGATTTACAGGCTCGACTTTCTGAGACCGAGAGGCGGCTGCAAACACTTCAGCAGGTAATTCTGTAACTTCTTACAAGCAAGGCGCATGCACTTCAAAAATGTTATACCTAACGCAGCACATATATGATTATGATATTGCATGGCTATGCTGTAGCTCATGAGGATAGATGCCAGGTTCTTATTGTGGAGGTCTGGGTTTGTTCTCAGGTATGTGGATTTGTGGTGGACAAAGTAATGCCGGGAAAGGTTTTTATGTCAGTATCGTTTCACCGCTACTCCATATTCACTCTCGTATCATCTGGGAGTTTGGACTGAATCATCTGTTGACACAGATCATTCAGTAACTTCTGAAATTTGTTTAATGTAATATAAAGTATTCATTAACCCTTTCACTGCCAACAGTTCTGCTTCTGATTTCTTCCCAGTCCAGGCGTTTTTAGCAGCGCACTTGTGATTTTTAGCAAGACAGTGAGTTGCAAATGACCTAAATGTACCAAGGAATTACTAATGATAGCTTCTTGCATCATTTCCTGAAAGAGAAGAAAACTATTTGCTATAAATGCATTCTGAAAGATTATTTTTTTTCTTACAGTGTGTTACTTTCTAGCTTAGGTTGGATATGGTACTATGAACAAAGCACCACTAAACAATCAAATTTGGAAACGCGAACAAAAGCATTGACTTCTTTGTTCCTTGCATTGCATGTTAATATGCACACTCAAGTAAGTTGGTACCTGCCTGTGTCACCTGGCCTCTTTATACGCACAGCAGTATATATTCTGTAACCGTGTACAGGACAAATATTATGTACATGGTTTCAAAAAATCAGGTTCCTCTTTTAAAAAAAGCACACAATGTTTCAGTTATAAAGACAGGTTGATTGATGTTGTATAGGAAAATAAGTTCTGTTTATTTTTAAAACCAATGTGCGTAAATACATGTAAAAGTTTTAATGCAAGTTGATTGGAGGTTAAAGAGAGTGGTACATGTATGTACCACTGTCATATAAACTGATGTCTATTTGGTCAGAATAACATTTTTGATTGCACAGGATGTTTCATAATGCCTGAGAGGGTGGTATCTTGTGAAAACTCCTTTTTTTCTGTTTTGTTTTGGCAACCATAATTATTAGAAATGCGAAGCAACTTTAGCATTTTTTCTATTTCCTTTTTCTTTGTTTTTATTTAGCTTACTGATTTTTTTCCCCATGATACTTACCTTGTCAGCTATTGATATGTGTCATGTGGTAATCAGGGGTAATAGGTGTGTAGTATGTACACAGTATGAATATTGAAAAATGAGAAATTGTTCCGGGGGCTTCCCCGGTTTCTCCGTGGCATCCCAACAATTACTCTATTCACACACAGAAGCAGGCAATGGCAAACCACTTCTGGATCATCTGCCAAGAACGTATATGAACAGGTCCCAGTCCGAGAAAAGGATGGAAGGATCCTGTTCATATGGACCTGTCCTCAGACAGAACACTAAATAATAATAATAATAATTGCTTTTTTTATTACACTGTCAGCATTGCTCTTGAGCTTCGACTCCTTTCCTCATTCACAGTTTCAGAGCCACTTTTTGTGTTCTGCAAGTCTACCACCTTAGTTCTTGTATTCCTTCTACTTAGGATTCAAGGAGAGATGTCACTTTTTATATCCCACCACCTGCCCTGTCTGTGTTACTGTCACAGTCTCCGCCACGCATTCCAACACTAGAAGAAAGCCAGCTTGCTCTGAATCTTCATGAAAGATTGACGTCTAAACCTACGAAGAGTTGGCCAGTGTCTTCTAGTGCCTCATTTACTGAAGACTTAAGTATCTCTTCAAACAGGATGAATTACAAGAAACAACAAGCTTTGGATACTGCCAGTGCAAGTGAGTCTATGCCTGATATGTCGGCTGACAATCAGACGTCTCGGACATCACGTTATGACAGAAAATCATCTGCGTCGTCAGTAATAAATAAAGGGTTTCACATGTCAACCAAGGTGTCCACCCGAGAAAAAAGTCTGCAAAGAAAAGATGTCAACTACTGTACATGTGATCGAGCTCCTGGAGTGTTTGAAGATTTCTGTGCATGTTCACAAGTTTCCTCTCCATCTTTGAACTCTTCTCAAAAATGTGAAGAGTCATTACATGTATCTGACAAACAAGAATCTAGTGGTCTTCACATGGTAGATGCAATTTTGATGGCCAGTAGGGATGAGATTACTATCAATTCTAAAAATGGTTGCATTGTGTTACCACATGAGTTGCAATTGCCAGGAAATGTGATGGTAAGTATAGTCAGTATTATGTGATTAAGTTGGTTAATTTGATAGTGTCATTAAAAATCAACACTAAGACTTACATTAAACCATGAATATTATTTTGGAAACTGAGTACAATGAACGAGAACTCTCACATCCATTTCATGGGCCAAGGTTTAGTCATTGCTGCTTTTTGGTACAGTAATTTCATGGTTATTGTGATGTTTCTTAAAGAGTACTGCATTAATAAAAATTGTGTTGTGTGAGAAAATTTAATTGTATTATATGTGGACGAGGTGAGTTTTCTATGTAATAATAAAAAAATTGGTGCATTATTTGTAAAATGGTCACTAATGACGGACTGTGCAAAATAATGCAACTTAACTTTGGAACTACTTATATGGTTTTTGATGGACTGAAGCACATTTTTTTTTCTTCTGTTGTATCTGAAGTTCTCACTATTATTTCTGCTAGCATCAATGAAAATTGATAACATTAGATTCTTACCTGTTGGTCAGTTAAATAGTTATTTTACTGTAAGAATCCATTGTAAGTTGTTTTTTTTTTCAGGAGAAATTTAACTCAATTTCAGAAGAAGGTTGCCAGTCCAGTGATATTTTAGAAAGGTTAAAGATTCCAGACCTTGTTTTATGGACAAATGATGAGGTGAATACGATGGCTGCACTCTGTGGTGAGAACAGGATTGCAGCTGCTGATCAACTTGATATGTGTCGTGAACTGGAAAAATGTCGTGAATTACTTCGAGTCCAGTACAATCTGAATAGCACGTACAAAAAGGAGGTACTGGCTTCTCTCCTTTCACTTTCTGTACGCATGTCCTGGGTGTCCAGAAATTAATTATTCTTCTACTTAAGTCTGTTCCAACTTCATAACAATTTGTCATGCGATATTCATATGTTTCTATAGCCTTTTGGCCTGAATTGAAGATAAATTTTGGGAATCAGTTGTTGCTCATTTTGTTGAGACAAGGTACCATTTTTCCTTCATTTTTAAATATTTACTTAATTCCTTATTTTTTCCATATTTAGGATATGTGACTGCTGATTAATTTCTTCATTTGTTAGTCAGTTAATCTTTTCATTGGTCTTAACATTACCTTTTTCTCACAAGCCATGATTCAGAACTAATTTACAATTGTATCATATTTATTACATTTTGTTTTGTGTAACATTTCCTTGTGTGGTGAGTTATTGATACACCAGATTAAAGTCTAAGCAGAATTAAAATTCAGAAGCTTAATTTTTGTTGGAAATATTTAAAGAGACTTCTAAGTACTGTATGTTATCAAGATACCATCGTATTGCATGTTAAAGTCATCGACAAAAATCAAGATGTTTTGAGAGCAAATATCTATTCCCTGCAGGTAGCAAGTCTTGCCCAGCAGTTGAATCAAAGTGAGGATGATAAAACAAAAGAAATGGATGAAATGTCCAAGTTATTACAAATGCACACAGCAAACATCAGTAAGCTTCAGAACCACTTGGAAACATCTAATCTGGTTCACACAGCTCATGATACTCGTCAGCTTACAGTAGGAATGGGAGAGGGCCTCTTTGAAATCCATGTGGATCATTTACATCTCTCTCCTGAAGCACTATCACGGCTTGTGGATCAGGTGAGATATTTTGGTCTTGCAGATGATGTGAAAATAACTAGATATTTCATTCCAGTTTTCCAAATGTTAATGGTACAGTTATTAAATCTGTTGGTAGCTGTTTAATTAATGTATATGTTATCTGAACTAAGCCTTCTCGAAGTTATCACCACCTTGTCGAAGGCAATATGCCGGGTGAGGAGGATCGCGTGCTCAAATGACCCTAAGGGTATGCCGGCCGGAGATTCGGCTCATGGTAGGGTCACCCAAGCCGGACAGGTCTAAGGAGATGCGATAGACTAAGAGTGATACACTGGTCCTCCAGGTTGGGGGTTGGGCGTAAGGCTAACAACCTTTCACAGTAAAAAAAAAAGCATTTTGGTATATTTTTTAAAAATTTTAGTTTGATTATAACATTATTTTCCTAGTGCAGTTCCAAATACACATTTGTGTGCTTCATAATACATAATTTTATTTACAAGAAACAGTATGAACATACAGAAATGGAATTTGTACGAAACGTTTGATAATAACAATCGATTGCTTTGGAAGAAATGTTCTTTTGTGAAATTACAAGTAACTGGTGGATTTTTTCTCCCATTGAACTTGATGAAATTTATACTAAAAAACAATGTTTAAATTTTCAGTTTTCATTATCAGATGTATTTTAGTTTTCATGAACAACCTCACACTTTACAAAAGTTATGCTTTTGGTCTGTACATATAAATTACTTATTTGAAGTTCCATCTCTCAAAATTATCTTTCCTTGGCCAAGCAGGCTATCGTACTTTCTCAAGTACTAGCAATTACTGTTATTTATAACGTGGGATTCTTAACAATTTTTAATATTTCAGCCTCATGATGCTGTTTATCTGGAGAAGGATCCCCCAAGTTTGTTTGTAACCTGGGTATTTTATGATCAAGATGTGGCATATACACCAGTGAAGGCAGCTGTAACAAATGTTGAATTTGACAGTTCCTCTGTTCATAGGGTCACTGTAAATGATGAATTTCTTGAATATTTGAAAAAGGTAAGAGAAACTGTGGGCAAATTTGTTGTATTTTGATGTGCTGTGTACACAGGATACTGTGCAACTATGGATGAGGGCCAGAATTAGCCCTTTGAAGCCAGTGCTCTTCTAAATAGTAATTATGAATTCAGTTTGTACCTCAAAGAAAACACACAACATTTCTCCATTACAAAGATCAAATGGTTAATACTGTTTAGGAAATTAATCCCTGTTAACATTGAGAATCATATAAAACCCGTTAATATAAAATGCATAGTCACTTATTTTGAAAGCAGTTGATACGAAATGTTACCGGTGGGCTTTAAAGGTTTAATCTTTAATGAATGCAGGTGGACTACTGAATGACAACTGACAAGTAGCATTATTTCAGTTATTATCAGTTAGGTGAAATCTGTTCCAGGTAAAATTTTCTCCTATGAATGATGTGAATGTTAATGCTGCGTTAAAGTTTCATATGTGAAAGCACTGATGATAATATATACTGAAATGAACTTCTTTATGTATGCATACAAGTCATAGTTTGAGTATGCAATGGAGTTATAAGCCTTTATTTTGTGTTCCTTTGCGTATTGATGTGATAAATAACATTAATCTGAAATTTAATCTGTTATAATAGTTAGATGACACAGTGGTAAAGATTTACAATGTGAAACACAAACACACAAATGATACATAAATTACACATATTTTAGGAAACAGAATTCATCTGCGTGGAATAATTGAGGCAGATTTGATTACTTCGTAATTTCAGTTTGTGATTGTGATTCAACATATTCTTATTTACATTTGTAGGAAGACTGTGTTGTTGAGGTCCATATGGCAGTTGATGATGCAAGTGAAACAGTGGCCAGTGGTACCTTTCAGTTCTCAGAACTGCTCATATCCCCACAAAACAAGATTCACGGTACTGTCCCATTAACAGGGACTAGAAGCTGTGAAGCCATAATTGGGTTTGGAATTCTCCAGTGTTGGTACCAACTCAGTTGTTCTCTCAGTCTTATCAAAAGTTACATCCAGCACAGAATAGCAGATAAGGTAAGGTTTTTACTGCAGTTAACATTTCAGTTATGGTCTTTGGGGTGCTGCCCTGAATATGGAGGCTGTATGTTAACCGCTTGCAAGACTGTGTGGCATTACAACCCAGAAGACCACAATTGACAACCACTATGAAAATGGCAGCTCTCAAAAGTACTTTATTCATGTTTCCCTCCTAACATTGGTTATGTAAGGTTATGTTATTTTTCATAATTCTCATATTCAAGACTGTTATTATCAATGTACATTATCTTAGGTTAGTTAAATTGTTATTTTAATATAGTTGAGACAGTATTGATAGGAATGGTAGTTTATTTGGCCTGTTTCATTTCTTTCTGCCTCCATATTGTTTGTAGGTTCTTTGTTCTCAGTGCAGGCCACCCAACCTCAAAATGGTGGGCCGTGTTTGAATTTCATGTTAGTTTATGTTGGATGGGGAATACCTGATACTTTCAGCACAACACTAATGCAGCTTTTTTTATAACTTAGCGACGTGAAGTTGTGTGCGCAAGTTCAATGTTGAAAATGGCAGTAGCACAGGGTCCGAAAGGTGCGGGGAAGCAAAAGACTGAAGGATCAGCTCCTGTTTCTAGATTTTCCTTTCTCTTTCTTTGTGCAAATTATTTAATCGTTGGATTTATCGTCAGGTCTCAAGGACAAAAATGCCTGTTCCCGCTCCAAGACACAAAGGGGAACAAAAATCTGAAATCAGTCATCCATTTCCCAACAAAACTCCTGATAACATCATCACAGGTAAATACGTAATACATGTGCAGGAATTTAAAAATATAAGATTGCGATTGTAGTGTACTTCAGTGTTTCTGAAAACTGTGGCCTGTAGACCACTGCCATTGCAAAGACTAATTTATGCAAGTCTTCAAATTTTAACTGATGTTAAATTTATGTGTATATTTTATTATACCTAGTTAATATTTTAAAATGAGCACCATTTTTGTTTTTCATTTCCTTCTGATTCTGAAATAGTTTGTGTTGACCATAACTGATGTTTAGGTGTTCTTTACATATTATAATAAATGAAGAACACTTTATGGTTCATTACATCTTTCAGCTGAGAAAATCATGTTCTTCTTGAGCTATTAGTTCAGATATCAAAATTGAATCTGGTAAATTATGATATTTATTAACTAGCATGTACATATAATAGTTATTACAATATTATTATAAAGTATATCTAATTAAAACTGTATCCTCCATGCTGTCATGTGGTTTCCGGCTTATTGGTGCATGATGCCTTAACCACCATGGCTACTCAATAAGTTGTAACAATACAGTGGAAATTTTCTCTAGAAGCTTTGTGCATTGTTAAAATGTGACATGTAGCTGACTTTAAATTACTGCCATGTGTAATCAGAAATTGAAATTAGCTAATGACCTGTAACTATTGATTGTTTCCATTGTCTTGTAAATGTCAACACCGTGTTATGCAACAGAATTCTTTGTTAGTACTATATCAGTTTTTTATCAACATTATTGTTATCTGTATTCTGTAATGTTCAACGGATGTGGTGCAAAGAATGCCTTTGAAAATTTGTATACTTTGCAGAGGATTCATTTTAAGATGGTAAATTTTTCTAGCTGTGATAGAAAAATTATATAAGTGGTCTATGTATCAGCTTGGGAACACTGAAATATATAATAAAGAATGTTAATTTTAGCTCAGTCAGTATAGTGACTAGCTACGGGCTGGACGACTGGAGTTCGATCCCCGACGGCAGAGGATTTTTCCTCTAGTCTCTGCGTCCAGACCGGCTCTGGGGCCCACTCAGCCTCTACAATGGGTACCGGGTTCCTGGGAGTAAACCGTGGCCGGGGCATGATGCTCACCACTTACCCCCATCTAGTGCCGAGGTCGAGAAAGAGGAGCTATACCTCCACTCACCCCAAGCGCCTGTATGGCACGTAGCGGGACAAACTTTAATTTACTTTTAGTAAGGTTACTTATATTTATAAGTTCTTGCAAATGCATTATTTTTTCTCTCTGCCTTTTGTTTTGTCTGGTGATGTGATCTTGGCAGGTGCTCTGCCCTCATGATTGAAGTTTTAACACTCATGTAATTTCTTGATGATCTGTAAAAGTAAAGTGAAGCACTCCCATTACACGCCATGTAAGTCGCTTTGGGGGAGATGTAGTATAGCTCGTACTCATCCTTGACCTCGGCAGTAGATGGGGGTGAGTGGTCAGCATCACGCCCCTGGTACTCTTTGTTTGTTTTGTCAAATTTATGATCGTGTTCTTCTCTTGTGCTGTATCTGTAATTGGCCTTCTGGCTGTTGATGCAGAGCACTAATAATAAATAATTGAATATTATTACTGCTACTACTGATACTTTTAATGTGTAATGCAGTTTGTAATACAACCCTTCCTGTGGGGAGTAACTTTAGTATCCATCATCAAAAATAGGCTACATTTCATATTTTCTTTTACCTAATGTGGTGCCCTACTGAATTTTAATGTCAAATACTTATTTTATATTTATTATGAAGATCCATCAAAAGATATGATGTATGTCTATCAGTTGATCTTTGTTTTGTAGAAAAACGGGTTCAAGCTGAAGACGATACTACAGCGAATAAAGCTGAAGAAAAGGTACCAGTAAATGGCAGTACTAAAGAAGAAGTTCTTACAGAAGATATGGTTAAAGAAAAAGGTCCTATTGAAGGTAGTTCTGAAGAAAGTTCTGCAGAACATGTTCATGAACAGTCTGTACAAGAAAATAAAGGAACACTGGACAGAAAACCTTCAGACTCATCCATAGACAGTCAAAATTCAAAACAGGTATCACACAGTTAGTCTATACTATCATCTTGTCAATAAATATGTAAATAAAATAAATAAATCCGTGGCGTAACAGCTCCATAGAGCCAAAGCCGACTAGCTTGACTACTGGCCTCACATTCACATGCATAAGCAGAGGTGAACGATCATCCAACCAGATATAGGGTGACGTGTGGTCAGCACGATGAACCCCCAGCCATTGCTAGTTTTCATGACCGGATTACGCTACCCATTGTAGCTCCCCAATTTCCTCACGATGCTGGGTTGGCACCGGTCGAAAGCTCATGAGAGAATTTCTTCTCCCCCGAGACCCGAACCAGCGCGCATTCTGTATCGCTGGTCCGAAGCATGATGCCTCAGGCCGCGCGGCTACTCTCTGCTTTCTTCCAGTAGCAGCTTCACATCATGGCTTGCTGTGATCGAGGTTGTGACCAACTGGCCAGTTTCATAAAGTAGTGCATCTATTATATTTATTTTAAGTGCTACCAAAAATAATATGCTTTGATTTACTGTAGTACTTTATAGTGTGAACCGTGTCTACCTGTCTCAGATGTCTGCCTTACGTAGTGTCTGCCGGAACTGGAATTTTCAGAGATGGCGCGTAATGGATCGTGTGAGGCACAGACCGTGTTCGTCAGAGACGCAGTACATCAGATAGAGTCCGACAGCAACCAGTTTCACAAGTCATCAGGTGGGGAGAAATTTGCCCCAAGTCGCGAAAAGTCGCAAGTCCCAAGACGCGAAAAGTCGGAAGTCCCGTTTCTCTGCCTGTCTCGGTCTCTGCCTTACGCAAATGGGTTTATCAGAGATGGCACGACAAGGACCGCGTGAGGCACAGACTGCGTTCTTAAGAGACCATGTCTACAAGGCATCAGGTGCGGAGATTTTTGAAAGAAACTTTGAAAAATTTGAAAATTTACGAAAAATCAAAAAATGCTGGAAATTGTCCAAAAAGCGCACAAAACAAAGAATTTTGTGAAAAATTTCACATTCAATTTTTTTTTAAATTCTTGAAATTTTGTTGGTTTTGTGCGCTTTTCAGGCAATTACCAGCATTTTTTGATTTTTCTAAAATTTTCAAAATTTTCAAAAAAATTTCAAGACTCTCCTCATGTGATGCATGCCAGCCACGGTGAATGCCTCACCCTGTCTCTGCGGGACTCGGCCTCTCTCACCCTGTTGCCATCTGCCTCGATGTCTGCAGCAACCAGCCTCTGCAGGACTCCGTGTGTGAACCGTGTCTCTGCCCGTCTCGCATCTCTGCCTTATGTCGTGTATGCCAGAACTGGGCTTTTCAGAGACGGCACGTAATGGGTCGTGTGAGGCACAGACCGCGTTCGTCAGAGACACAGTACATCAGATACAGTCCGACAGCAACCAATTTTGCAGGTGGGAAGAAATTTGTCCGAAGTAGTGAAAAGTCGCAAGTCCCATGTCTCTGAACGTCTCGGTCTCTGCCTTACGTGGTGTCTGACGCAACTCGGTTTATTAGAGACGGCACGTCAAGGAACGAGTGAGGCACAGACCTCGTTCGTCAGAGACCATGTCTGCAATGCATCAGGTGGGGAGATTTTTAAAAGAAATTTTGAAAAATTTTGAAAAATCAAAAAATGCTGGAAATAGTCCAAAAAGCGCACAAAACAAAGAATTTTTGAAAAATTCAAATTTCAAAATTTTTTGAAATTTCTGAAATTTTTTTGGTTTTGTGCGCTTTACAGCTTGAGAAGTCACTTGATGCAAGTCTTGAGAAGTCACTTGTCCC